GTGAATATTGTCATGCGGTGTCCTTTTTTCTTTGGATGGGAAATGTTTATATTCATCTAGTAATTCGTACACCAATGGGATTTTGGGATGATATATTGTATTGACACTTGTGTTTCTCTGTTTATGCATTTATACATATCAGGATAATTAATGTACACGTACACATTGTTCACTGTACTAGAGTGTTTCCTAGATCCACGTGTCAGCACTGATAGAGTCAAAAGGTACTCATGCTTAAGACAATATAGGATAGAGTTCTACCAGTAACAACAGACAGTGAAGGCAGGCAAAGATCCTTTAGAATATATGTTGATGTATTTTGTTGGTGTGCTGTATACTGTATAACACACGCCTTCGTTCATCTGTTACCGGTCAAATATAGAGTGTGGATTCTTGAGACTACAGACTAAGAGACCGGGATCCTATTTAAAAAATTTCTCTAAAACGACGTGTGAAAATATGTGTGTGTGTGCGTGTGTGTGTGCGAGCGCGCTAGTGTTCTTATCATAAGTTATCATGTGTTTATTTGTGTGTGGGAGGGGTATATACTCGTACACACATATGCAAGCGATACATTCAGGAGAATCAACAAGTTTTATATGAATATAGAAATCACCTCATCAACTTCGAATCATACATAAGGTGTAAACAAACCAAAGAAATTACAAAACTCGCGGTTATTTGGTAAGATAGATATTTCTGGTTATATGTTGCCCAGCAGATGGTCCATGGCACGAGCCCGTATAACATTATATGGTAGATTCATCACCCGTCGCTGAACAGCTGTAGATACTAGGTACATACAGCCTAGTGTTAATGGTGATATAGGGCGTACATTATATATACACACACATATATATATATATATATATATATATATATATATATATATATATATATATATATATATATATATATATATATATATATATATATATCGCAACCACTAAGAATGGAGGAAACTGCAGCGGGCTTATTGAGGTCCGGACAAAGCACCCGCAGGACAAAACCCCCAAGGACAATAACCCCCCTAGGACAATAACCCCCCTAGGCCAAAGCCCCCCTAGGACAAAAAGCCCTCAAGTAAAGTGCAAAATAGGACAAAAACCCCTTATTGAGAGTAAAAAATTTGACAAAAGTCCCCATTATTTCTATTTTCAGACTACAGTAAGTCCATTTTAATAATTCTAAACAGGTGAAGAACACCATAAAGTCAGCTGCTTTGACCAACAGAGTCAGACCTGCACAAATCGTTACAGACAACCCCCAACTCTGAGGACAAATTATAATAAGAAATATTTAAATCATAATTTTTTTTATTTATAGTTCATGAGCACTTCTCTTACATGTAAAATATTACATTTATTATATCATAAGACTACAATAAAGAAGGCATTATAAGTATTATACAGTAGAACACATTAACACTTGCATTATAAATTTATAGCTCATTCTTTTACAGGAGCACAAAATTATTTACACATTCATAAAAATCAACATTTTAAAGGTAACATCATATCACATCGAAGAAAAATCAAACAAATAAAGCACAATAGTGAACATTTCATTAAGTAATAAGGTTCATTTAAAGTACCACCTCAACAACCTCAACAAGTACCACATCAACAACTTCAACAAACACCACCTCAATGACATCAAGAAGTTTAAGTAGTAGGATATTAATCTCAACAATTTCTCCCACGAACAAGCTCAGTATGTACGAGTGCATCTTCCTAGTGACTGCTTTGGGAAGGAAATATTGGTAGAATTTTATATAATGGGTGTATTATTTTGTTTTTCATTTATAGTTGCCTCTTAAGAATCTCTAAGGATTAACTATTTAACAACTTATAAGAAACACCTATTGGAGGATTGTGAGAAGTACTTTCAACAACTTTGAGAGAGAGATAGAGAGAGAGTGTAGGAAGTACTCAACTCTCCTTTCATTTCCAGTTGTTGTAGAAGCTGCAGAATGATTGGCTGTCATTCTTCCATTGTAGATAATGAGTATTGTAAGAATAGGTGGCGGGAACTTTTCCAGCGGTTGTTTTCAACCTTTTTTTAACTGAACGCACCATCGACTCATATCATATTCCCAGCACCCTGATCCCAGTATCTATTATTGCAGTTACCTAAAGAAGGCATATTGAAATATAATAAGCAGCCTTGATATTTGGTTACTTTTCATGCATGTTTATCACTATAAAGTACTCTAATTATTATTGTTTCTTTTTCACACACATATTAACCTACGTCCATCTTTTTAACATCACCGCTGTTCATTTTTTTATGTTCTGAATGATTATCTTGTTCATTGGAACTTTTAGGAAAATATTGTATGTATTTTACACTGTGATCATTACAAGTGAAAACTCCAATATTAACACATCAACTGACGTGAAACGTTTGGCTATTGTACAACCCGTGAACCTATATGTAGTAAAAATCTGTTTATAGGCATTTTTATACAGAAAAGGACCAGTACTGTATATGCAAGTACTGTCACATTTCTGTGACACCTCTGGGAGATGTCTATTCTACCCTCATTAGAAATCACTTGATTTTCATCTTTGTTTTTGTTTTTCATTTGGATTGTTGCGTGTGTTCTTGCACCTGTCATATTAATCTTGGTCCGTATAATGCAAATTGGTCATAGACACGTAAGTTTTTGGTACTACGAGGAAAGTGATTGTTTACTAATGGACTTTATTTTGTTTGTACTTCCAAAATATTAATGTCTCTAGCTATACTATATATGAAAACAATATAGAAAAGACGAGAAGATTAAATGGGGTTTTCTCTTTTCTACTAAGTAAGATTATTTAAGTCACGACATTGGCAGAAAACTGTAATGGGTTGGTGGTTTTGTTGTCAGTAAAAATAACATGATGAAGCGGTTTTCCAAATGGTAAAATTGAACGTATATAATGATATTAAGACATTAATATGAAGAAAATTTGCTGAAGATATCAATATGAGATGAAGGGTTGTGTTCCAAATGAGATTATGGTTAGCTGAGTATTCCCCTACAGTAAGCGCTATAAAAGTAGTGAAAGAAGCCTCGTATGGACTACAAATCTGCGAATAAAGGGGTGGAGCAATTGGGAAAAAATTGATATTGAATGTGAATTGTGAACTGCATTAAGTATTGAAGATATACGACAAAAATGACAAGGGGAAAATAGTGATAAGGTTAATGGAGAAGAATGGAAGAATTGAAGTATTACAGATACCTGGTAATTACAATCTAGAAATGGAATCATAGAGTACCGGAAGAAAGATCTGAAGACCGTAAAGTTACTGAGGGGTGCGTAAAGGATGAACCGTAACAATGGAGGCAAAATGGAGGTGCGGAGGAGAATCGATCATCTGACATGTCTTGATTGTTGTAAAAAATCAACTGTGGGTGCAATAACGTCCTTCAGAAAATAGCTGAGGATAACACATTGCACAGAATAAATAACAAAGACAAGAGGGAAGATGGGAAATTAAAGAAGTGTTGGCCAGAAAATAGAGCAGAATTTCTCCAGGTGGAGTTGATATACTAAGAGAATGAGAAGTGAAAGATTGGTGAAAAGATTATATGACCAAAGAGTAAGAGGGTAACACTAAGAACGCGATGGACAGTGGGCGCTAGAACTGAGGGAGATGGAACACTGAGGCAGCGACATTGTACAGTGCGTACTTCATTAACTGGATAGGATGACGTTGATTGTCTGTTGTTTGGGTTTTACTTTTCTCTTATTTTTGAGAAAACGACAGAAGTAAACTTGATGAGCGTCAAGGGCATTGTTCTAGTAGTTAATCACCACAGCAGAAAACATAAATTTTATTAATAAGAAAGAATGATTGACAGAGAAGAAGAGGAATCTGTGTGTTCGATTTATTTCTGGGTTACTGCCACCCTACAATAAGCAGTAGGGAGACCGAAGAATGGAAATGTAAGATATATTAAGATTCCATTATTAACTGCAGAGAAAGATGTTTCTCTTTTTTTTTCTTTCTTATGCCATGATATCTTGTACTTTAAAATAAAACACTCATTTGTGGATAGTTATAAACTTTTATTTCAGTGCACAATCGATGTTAATGCAAAATATAATTATAACAAACAAAATAAGATTCTTATCTTTTAGGTAAAGTGTTTGGTTAGGCTACTTGAGATGATACAATAAAGCATATTTTTTTTTTCAGGCTAAAAACAAAAATAAGCAATACTTTGCTTCTAACCCTATTTTGGAAAATCGATTTGATCAATAAATAAAACTTGGAATTATATTATTTCCTTTTATATCCCTTTTATTTCATTGTAATATTGACAAAGATTACTATATAATTCCAAGTGCAAGAAAACACGTAACAATATAAAAAGATAAATCAAACGAAATTCAAGCTAGGCTACATAATATGACAGATATTCGTGTCACCATTCTTGAAACTTCAAGAGCAACTGGAAGTGAGAAGATAGATAGAACATCAATAAGGTACAGAACTTTCTAATATGACTGCATACATTTTCCTTAAAGTACTTGAAAAAGGACTTCTTAAAGTTATTAAAGAGGTAATTTTAAAATTGTAGAAGACATAATTGTTAAAGGTGCCGAAGATGAACTTAATGAAGTTGAAGAGTAAAAACAAACTTTACAAAGTTCTGTAATATTTGCCTCAACAAGTTGAAAATGAGGCACATGAAAATACAGTGTATTATGGGTAAGTGTAGATAATTCTACGTTACTTAATGTGTGATGAGTGATCTTAACCTCTTCCCGGCCACTGGAAACATCCTGTTGATGTGGTACTTGTTGAAGTTGTTTTGTAGTACTTGTTGAAGTTGATGTGGTACTTGTTGAAGTTGTAGTACTTGTTGAAGTTGTTGATGTGTACTTGTTGAAGTTGTTGATGTGTACTTGTTGAAGTTGTTGATGTGGTACTTGTTGAAGTTGTTGATGTGTTTGTTGAAGTTGTTGATGTAGTACTTGTTGAAGTTGTTGATGTAGTACTTGTTGAAGTTGTTGATGTGTTGAAGTGTTGGTACTTGTTGAAGTTGTTGATGTAGTACTTGTTGAAGTTGTTGATGTAGTACTTGTTGAAGTTGTTGATGTAGTACTTGTTGGTAGTCTTGTTGAAGTTGTTGTAGTAGTGTTGAAGTGTTGATGTGTACTTGTTGAAGTTGTTGATGTGGTGGTTGTTGAAGTGTGTTACTTGTTGAAGTTGTTGATGTGGTACTTGTTGAAGTTGTTGATGTGGTTGTTGAAGTTGTTGAAGTGGTGCTTGTTGAAGTTGTTGATGTGGTACTTGTTGAAGTTGTTGTACTTGTTGAAGTTGTTGATGTGGTACTTGTTGAAGTTGTTGATGTGGTGCTTGTTGAAGTTGTTGATGTAGTACTTGTTGATGTGGTGCTTGTTGAAGTTGTTGATGTGGTACTTGTTGAAGTTGTTGATGTTACTTGTTCAAGTTGTTGATGTACTTGTTGAAGTGGTGCTTGTTGAAGTTGTTGATGTGGTACTTGTTGAAGTTGTTGATGTGGTACTCGTTGAAGTTGTTGATGTGGTACTTGTTGAAGTTGTTGAAGTGGTACTTGTTGAAGTGGTGCTTGTTGAAGTTGTTGATGTGGTGTTGAAGTGGTGCTTGTCGAAGTTGTTGATGTGGTACTTGTTGAAGTGGTGCTAGTTGAAGATGTCGATGTGGTACTTGTTGAAGTTGTTGATGTGGTACTTGTTGAAGTTGTTGATGTGGTACTTGTTGAAGTTGTTGATGTGGTACTTGTTGAAGTTGTTGATGTGGTACTTGTTGAAGTTGTTGATGTGGTACTTGTTGAAGTTGTTGATGTGGAACTTGTTGAGGTGGTGCTTGTTGAAGTTGTTGATGTGGTACTTGTTGAAGTTGTTGATGTCGTACTAGTTGAAGTGGTGCTTGTTGAAGTTGTTGATGTGGTACTTGTTGAAGTTGTTGATGTGGTACTTGTTGAAGTTGTTGATGTGGTACTTGTTGAAGTTGTTGATGTGGTACTTGTTGAAGTTGTTGATGTGGTACTTGTTGAAGTGGTGCTTGTTGAAGTTGTTGATGTGGTACTTGTTGAAGTAGTGGTTGTTGAAGTTGTTGATGTCGTACTTGTTGAAGTTGTTGATGTGGTACTTGTTGAAGTTGTTGATGTGGTACTTGTTGAAGTTGTTGATGTGGAACTAGTTGAAGTGGTGCTTGTTGAAGTTGTTGAAGTCGTGCTTGTTGAAGTTGTTGATGTGGTACTTGTTGAAGTTGTTGATGTGGTACTTGTTGAAGTTGTTGATGTGGAACTAGTTGAAGTGGTGCTTGTTGAAGTTGTTGATGTGGTACTTGTTGAAGTTGTTGAAGTGGTGCTTGTTGAAGTTGTTGATGTGGTACTTGTTGAAGTGGTGCTTGTTGAAGTTGTTGATGTGGTACTTGTTGAAGTGGTGCTTGTTGAAGTTGTTGATGTGGTACTTGTTGAAGTTGTTGAAGTGGTGCTTGTCGAAGTTGTTGATGTGGGCACTTGTTGAAGTGGTGCTTGTTGAAGTTGTTGATGTGGTACTTGTTGAAGTGGTGCTTGTTGAAGTTGTTGATGTAATTTACTTGTTGAGGTGGTGCTTGTTGAAGTTGTTGATGTGGTACTTGTTGAAGTGGTGCTTGTTGAAGTTGTTGATGTCGTACTAGTTGAAGTGGTGCTTGTTGAAGTTGTTGATGTACTTGTTGAAGTTGTTGATGTGGTACTTGTTGAAGTGGTGCTTGTTGAAGTTGTTGATGTGGTACTTGTTGAAGTGGTGCTAGTTGAAGTTGTTGATGTGGTAGTTGTTGAAGTGGTGCTTGTTGAAGTTGTTGATGTGGTACTTGTTGAAGTTGTTGTTGTGGTACTTGTTGAAGTGGTGCTTGTTGAAGTTGTTGTTGTGGTACTTGTTGAAGTTGTTGATGTGGTGCTTGTTGAAGTTGTTAATGTGGAACTTGTTGAAGTGGTGCTTGTTGAAGTTGTTGATGAGGTACTTGTTGAAGTGGTGCTTGTTGAAGTTGTTGATGTGGTTCTTGTTGACGTGGTGCTTGTTGAAGTTGTTGATGTGGTACTTGTTGAAAGTGTTGATGTGGTACTTGTGGTCCTTGTTGAAGTTGTTGAAGTGGTGCTTGTTGAAGTTGTTGATGTGGTACCTATTGATGTGGTGCTTGTTGAAGTTGTTGATGTGGTGCTTGTTGAAGTTGTCGGGGTGTTAATTGTTGAAGTGGTGCTTGTTGAAGTTGTTGAAGTGGTGCGTGTTGAAGTTGTTGACGTGGTGCGTGTTGAAGTTGTTGATGTGGTACTTATTGATGTGGTGCTTGTTGAAGTGGGGTTTGTTGAAGTTGTTGATGTGGAACTTGTTGAAGTGGTGCTTATTAAAGTTGTTGATGTGGTGCTTGTTGAAGTTGTTGATGTAGTACTTATTGATGTGGGTCTTGTTGAAATTGTTGATGTGGTGCCTGTTGAAGTTGTTGATGTTGAGGCTCTTACTGGTGTTGTGGTTAAAGGTTGTGTTGTGGTGCTGGGCTGTGTAGTAGTGGTGCTTGTTTGTGTCTGTACTGGTGTTGAGGTTACTGGGGGTTGTGTTGACGTCACTGAAGGTTGTGTTGGAGGTTGTGTTGACGTCGCTGGAGGTTGTGTTGACGTCGTTGGAGGTTGTGTTGACGTTACTGGAGGTTGTGTTGACGTCGCTGGAGGTTGTGTTGACGTTACTGGAGGTTGTGTTGACGTTATTGGAGGTTGTGTTGACGTCGCTGGAGGTTGTGTTGACGTCACGGAGGTTGTGTTGACGTTACTGGAGGTTGTGTTGACGTCGCTGGAGGTTGTGTTGACGTCGCTGGAGGTTGTGTTGACGTTGCTGGAGGTTGTGTTGACGTCGCTGGAGGTTGTGTTGACGTCGCTGGGGTTGTGTTGACGTCACTGAAGGTTGAGTTACCACTGAAGATGGTGTTGGAGGTTGTGTTGATGTTACTGGAGGTTGATTTGACGTTACTGGAGGTTGTGTTGACGTTACTGGAGGTTGTGTTGATGTTACTGGAGGTTGTGTTGACGTTACTGGACGTTACTGGAGTGTGTTGACGTTATTGGAGGTTGTGTTGACGTCGCTGGAGGTTGTGTTGACGTCACTGGAGGTTGTGTTGACGTCGCTGGAGGCTGTGTTGACGTCGCTGGAGGTTGTGTTGACGTCGCTGGGGGTTGTGTTGACGTCACTGAAGGTTGAGTTACCATTGAATATTGTGTTGGAGGTTGTGTTGATGTTACTGGGGGTTGTGTTGACGTTACTGGAGGTTGTGGTGACGTCACTGGAGGTTGTGTTGATGTTACTGGAGGTTGCATTGACGTTACTGGAGGTTGTGTTGACGTTACTGGAGGTTGTGTTGGGGCTTGTGTTGACGTCACTGGAAGTATTTCTGAAAGTATATATTTTGTGACAATTTAATCGTAACAAGTCTTTGTCCCTGAAGTAGTAAATGCATTTACGGTGTTACCTCACACACAGAAACACTCAATTTATTTCTTAATTCAGGTTCTTAACATCTCTAATTTTAGCAAGAAACTAAGGATTGCTCTTTTTTCTTCGTAGGCTATCATATTTTTTTCAGTGTGTATTTATGCATGTTTGGGCGAGTATACCAGATATGACGGAAAATGCTCTCTCTACAGGTGATATCTGTACTTCTTCAAAGGGTTACCTTTACGAATATTTAGCAAGCAAGTTTGTTCTATATATAGTGCATAGTTTTTTCTTACATCTTAGTATTTATGCAATAATATATATTTTTTTTATCCTCATTTTGAAAAGGGCATTTATTAGCAATTGTCATTCAGCAATTGGAATGCTTACATGAGGCTCGACCTTAAATAGAATAGTAATTACAGAAGCACAAACACAAGCGAGATATATTAATTTAAAAATTATAGAAGCAGAGTCCGAAATGTTAGACGGAAATAATTTAGATAGAACTACAGCGCATAAAGTGTTAAAGGTATCGTCTATGTAAATTCGTAAAGAGGTTAAAAGGCTAACAGGAACTTCCTAAATGATTCACGGTTACTGTACAAACCCTAAAAGATAAACGCTTAAAAGATTCATAAGCTACAACGAAAAATTTTATCTTTACAAACTACACTTTAATACCTTGGTCACTTCACGTTAGACAGATACAGTGAAGGTTCAAAGTATACAGAACATTTTAATTGAGTTATTCATCTTCCTTTGAGGAGAATCAAGGTGGAAAGATTATGGGTTGGCAGACAAACTACAATTCTCCTATGGCCCTGGTGACCCGAGAGATAAATATGAACACACTGATTAGGTTCATTGATTAAAAAAGACAAAATGGTGAAGAATAGATCATTACAGAAACAAATAAAGAAATTAAATTATGGACAGGCACTTACTCGGTATACAACAGAAACATTGGGATCCTTTACACCAACTCTTCTTCAACTTCCCATTGCAGTCACGCTTACTTGCAACACAGCTTCCTTTTGCATTCTTGCAGTTCTTTTTTGGCTTACATTGTTTGGCGCAGCAGAGACATTTCTTGCCCTTACATCCGCCAGGTATCACTCGGTCTTTCGAGCCACATTTGCTTTTACATACGCCTTGGAACTTATTACATTTAGGTCTGATCTTTACTGCACATGCTTGAAGAAAAGAGAGTTAGGTTATATATATATATATAGAGAGCGCTGAGGCCTAAAATAATATTTTAGTTATAGTAATTAAAGTCGGACTGTAATGTCTTACTTGTTGCAGTAATATTTTAATTAAATTACACTGTTATCTTATTTAAGTTAGCTTTAGTAGGTGTAGCACTATATTGAATCATTTCACACTTACCAGATAAACAACAGCCACAGGAAGCTCCCTTACATCCTTCGACCAATTTTGTTTTGCATGATTTTGTACTCTTGCACTGTCCTCCTTGATTCGTACATTTTTTAAATTGTTTTTTACATTTTCTTTTAGATTGATCAGCTTTCTTGGCTTTTATAACGCTTTGTATCTGTTTTGGTTTAGTATCGATATTTTCCTTTTTATCTTGTTTATTCTTCGTGTCTTTCTTTTCCTTTTTAACATACTTCTTGCGGGTTTTTTCATCCTGCTTTGACTTTTCCTTCTCATTGTTCATTTTACTATCGTCGTTATTCTTGCTCTCCTTTTCCTTTCCCATTTTCTCTAACTTTTTTCGATAATTGCTTTTCTTTCCACCTTGTACTTTCTTTTTGTTTCTTTTCTTCTTTTTCTTTTCATCTTTTGCTTGGTTTTCATTCTTACCAGGTTTCGTTTTTTCTGAATTTTGTTTACTTGAGCCTTTTGATTTTTGTTGTTTGCGTTTTTTCTTGGACTTTTCTTTCTTAGATAATGATTTTGTGTTTTTGCCTGTAACTTTCTCTCCGTTGCCTTCCCCCGTTTGTTTCTGTCTATTTTTATCTGTTTGTTTTAGTTCTTTATATTCGTTAATATTAGTTGGATCTTTGTATTTACTGTTGTTTCCATTATTTTGTTTTTTGTTTTTCCTAACCTGCCCTTTTGTGTCTATTGCTTTCTTTGGACTTTTATTTATTGCTTCCTTATTCTTTTTGTTTGCATATTTATTTTTTTCTTGATCTCCACGTGTTTTTATTTCTTTCTTTTCGCTTTGCTTTTCTCTGTTTCTGTGATTTTTGTTTTGTTTTCTCCTTTTGCTATTGCTCTCATGCCTTTCCTTTTTGCCTATTTCATTCTTGGCATTTTCCTTTGTTTCTTTTATGTCCTTTTTCCTTTCAAGTTTTTTATTCGATTTCTTGTTCATGTTATTTTTATTTGGGTGTTTCTTTCTTTTCTCATCTACCTTTGAAAGTCTTTGTTCCCCATTTATCTTGTTCCCTTTAGTAACCACGCAACAAACAGGTTGAGAGATGGGGCAGGATGCATCCCGTCGAACTCTCAGGCATGATTTGCGTTCCTTCTCATCAACACATTTTCCACCACCAGACAGACACGGTCCCTCTCTCATTGTCCTCGTTCTTTTCTTATCGCGTCGGCCATCTCTTCCACCACCCTTGATTGGGTGAGATGTTACGCCATTACTGTTGCCAAGCTTGCCATCTTCATGACCACGTTCAACCTTACTTCTTCCTTGCCCACCGGTACTCCCCTACAAATATGAAATATTTGATTGATGTTTATATATGGTTAATGAATGTTTGCCATATAAGGTTTCACACATAAGTTGCGGCAAAAAATTCTTAGTCCACTCGAGGTGGAGGATGCGAGTCACAGTCTAGACGCCACCTAACAAGCAACAGTGTAGTTAATAATTGGTTTTTAGCAATTTTAACTATGCAGAAGGCCTTAAATAAACATAAACTTATTACTGTTGAGGTATGTGTCTGATGATGGGATAATAATTTGAAAAAATGTAATCATACAACTGATTGTATCCACATTGCTCAACACTCCACCCCGTATACACACAGACACCCTTTGGGGTTTTGTGTGTGTGTGTGTGTTTGTTTTGATGGAGGGGGCAGTGGTAATAGTCGTTAGAACATCAAGTGTGACATCAACAGTAACTCGCAGTCCACTGTAGTGAGGGTGGGACAGGCTCCATCGCGTCCAGCTCGGGTGGATCACGAAATTCTGGCCGCAACTGTACGTACTGTATGTTACATCTAAAATCATACACTCATTTGTAAATTATTGTTAGTAACAGCGTGAAGGTTATCGTTCAGCAGGTCAACACCAGCTGACTTTTTTTATAATCATAGAATAAATTAATTTGATTATTGTACTGCACAACCTGAACATATTGTTTACTTTACAAGAGGAAAATATCAACTTTATTGTTTATTACAAAAGCCCTTATGGGTCAGCATCTCAATGTTTAGACTCGTTTTACAAAGGTGATATTTTCTACAAAAAAAATCATACAATAAATATAAATATATATATATATATATATATATATATATATATATATATATATATATATATATATATATATATATATATATATTATTTATATATGCAAGTAAATCACTGTAGGTGCGTGTGATATATATGAAAAAAAAAACACGAACTTCGTGTTTTTTCTTTTTCCTTATATATATATATATATATATATATATATATATATATATATATATATATATATATATATATATATATATATATATATATATATATATATATATATATATATATATATATATATATATATATATTTTTTTTTTTTTTTTTTTAATAAATAAATATTCATATCCCTAATATATTCTGTACTTGGAATCAAGCTTTGGAGTCGTGAAAACTTCCTATTTTCCAATTTAAAGTGAAAAGAGTTTTCCAACTTGAGACACCCTAAACAAATAACTATGCTTTACACCAAAATTTATTAACAGTTCAATTTTGTTGAAAAATTTGCAATACAATAGTTCCTTGAGAACATGCTGATCAGAGATATGGTTTTAAAAAAACTATGTTTTCTCCAATATATGCACTAACGCACGTTTTAAACACTATTATAAACCGTTTTCCTCCGTGCCTTCCAGTATGTGACAACATGTAAGCTTTGGTATATTAATAATCACTTCTTCACATACACACTAATCTTTTTTTTCATCTGATGATCTTCACTCCGTTTTCGACACTCTTTTTTTTATTTTATTGTTTTGTAAAATGGTAAGACATTCACAGTGGCAACTTTCTTTGATTTAAAAAAATATCCATCAATCGGACTTCCTAATAACGTTAGTCTAACACTGGTTCTCAGAGAGACCAGTCTCTTACCATCAGGGTCAGATATTTTTCCTAAAATGTTCCAGATATACATTGTACACGTTACTAATATGCTCTAACTGTATCAACGTTTAATATCTATCCAGTTTTACGTAAGAAATTAAATACTAAAACACATTTACTTGAGCAAGGATGAGGACGACGAACACCACGACAACAACTATGACTGCCCTCATGGCGGTGGTTCTCCACAGTTGTTTGTGTTGCTACAGGTGTAAGTCACTGGTGCCGCACTCCCTCACAACCTCTGGCTGAGGCTGCTCAACTGGTAGTGAGGAATAGGACTGTTACTAAACGCTAAGACAACTACCACTATAATCAAAGGGTCGACCAGCTGAGCGTCACACAGTACCTGCTGTCCATTTTGTTTATTATGCGCCACATACCTGTCCCTACCATAGTAAGTGTAGCGACACATGATTATCTTTGTGATTTATAGAAATCATAAATAGTGATGATTATCATTCATACATGGATATAATTTCTAGTGAGTTCAGTCTACTGCCTCCCGAAGCCATTTCAGTACTAATACTGAGAGGAATAGCAAGTGTAGATAATATAAAACGTGGAACATAAAAAACAAATCTGTAATTTTCTTAAAACAACGACCCACAGTACTATGCGTGTTTAGCTAATATGTACACTATCAACAAAAACTTATCGAATACATGGGCACGATTGATGTGAGAATGAGCAGAATGGGGCTTGTCATCTCGGAATGGTTTCAGATTCTTCTTTCGTTTTTCAGATTGTACAGTGCTTATAGCGTTCGAAAAGTTTTTGGTGAGAGTGTACGTGACTTTTATGTTTTCATAGGACATAGTGCCTCAAGCACTGTGAACTGTATGTGAAGTAGCAGTGTGCTTGATATGAACGAATCGGCCCACTTCTTTAGTGATCTCCACAACTCGTATTGACCTTCTCTATATTAAAAAGCAAGTGTAAAAGTTTTGTTTTCCATGGGCGACAGTAGATTGCCAAAGCAGTTACTTTATACTCACCTAACGAATTGTAAACGTAATGCTGGCGGTCAACGGAAAAGGTATATGGATAGTCTTAAGACGAACCTGAAAAAGTGCCAAATCGACCCTCTCAACTGGGAGACGATCACTCCACACCGTAACACTCGGAGGAGCATACCGACTGCATAACGAGGCAGACGAGCCGCCCCACCGCACTAGATGTAGCCCTCCACACGTGCAACATCTGTGGACGGCCCTGTCGATCCCGTATCGGCCTCTTGAGTCACCTCGGAACTCACCAACGAAGGTGACAAACTTAACAACTCATATCATTGTATCATAGCTGGATATCCGTCATACTCGATTCCGAGTGACAACAAAGTATTATTTGATGTCACCGAAAATACTGGCATTTGTCATCCTATCTTCCCAGCGAACTTGGAGGATGGAACGTAGACTACGTTGGTGAAAGTTTTCAAGAGACTTGAAATGCCTCCTTTATGTGACCCCTGTGTCGCTGCCATACAACAGGGTGAGGAGGACCTCTGATCGATATATGTGCAGCTTGTAGATAATTTCAACTCCTTACAGCTGAAGACACGGGTACCGAGTCTGCCAAAGGGTTAAGATGTACATCTGATCCGATGTTGAATCTCTTCACTGATGTTCGCGGTGGTGGACAGGTGGGAGCCAAGATACTGAATGTGGATAACATTAGAGAGGGTAATACCGTTAAGCTGGATGGATGGTGGAGGTGTGACTGAACCAGGGGCAGGCTGAAAGATAATCTGATTCTTACAGACACTCACCTCAAGGCCGAAGTGTGTATACGCATCTGCAGAGGTGTGAGCGACGAGGGTGAGGCCATCTTCATACTAAAGTTCAGTGATGGAAGCGGCTGACACCATTGTTCCTGCCTGGAGTAGCCTTATGTTGAAAAGTATTGGATGTCCACCCTGCCGACTAAATTGGCACTGGCATGAGTAACGAAGGCAGCCAAGAAAATGGAAAAGAGAACTGATGCTAATACGCATCCTTGTTTTACCCCCGTTTGGATGGTGAAGAACTCATGCTGGGTGCCATTGTGCAGGACACTGCCGTTCATGCCATCGTGGAGTTGCTTCACAATGGCGATGAATATTGGTGGACAAACGAAACGGCTGAGGGTCCGCCAGAGGGCTTCCCTGTCGACCGAGTCGAAGGCCTTAGTATGGTTGATGAAGTCCATGTGCAACTTGTCGGCCTGTCTAAACAAGGTGTTGCTGATAGTGAGGTTGTGTTCTCTCTATGGTTCTCAGCCATAAGTTAGCATCTCTGCCAACTCTGGCATTGACGTCACCTAGGAGCCCAACCTTATTTTCTCTGGAGTTAGAGGTTAGCACTCTGTCAAGGTCGGAATAAAAGGCCTCCTTGATGTCATCCTCTGCATCCAGTGTTGGGGGCGTATGCACTGATGAAGAAGGCATGACGTAAGTAAATCAGTGGGACTCGGAGCGTCATGGGGCACTCGTTGACCCCATCAGGTATTTCAGTTACCCTGTGTAGGATGGATAGGAGAATGACAACGCCATCACCATAAAAGCAGTTTCTCTCCTCAGCAGACTTGCCTTTCCAGAAGAAGGTTTAGCCAGACCCCAGTTCTGTGAGTCTACCCTCGTCTGGTAGCTGGGACTCACTAATGGCTGCTATCTCGATGTTATACCTAAGCAGCTCTTTTGCCACAAGGGCAGTTCTTCTCTCAGGATGTTCATTCGTGCCAGTATCCAGAGGGTTCTGATATTCCATGCAACGACCATAAGAGGCTATATAGTTTGTTTTTGCTTTCATCGATGATTAATTTTGTTTTCGACCGCATTAGAATCCCCTTACTGGGTGTGGTTACCCAGTCAGGTTGGTTTTTAGGCAGGCAGTGTTTATGGCACATGGGGATGAGGGTGAGCAGAGTGGCTCCTGGAAAAGGCTGCTCAGTCGCACAAACAGGAGTGGATTGCACTGCTGCCTAGATCTCAGTGCATAAACGACCATCTTATCTATGCCGCCCATGTGCAGAGTTGTGACTAGAAACTCCCAGCAGTCACCTCTGCCTGTCCCATCGCCACTCGTCTGACACCATAGATCTTTTGGGGGCTTAGGGTTTCTGGCGAAGATGAAAAGTATAATGAGCTGGATGATGGCTGTGCAGAGTTGATTTATGTGGTGAGGCAGGAGCGCAGGCTGCATCCATATATCTTGGTTCTCCCTTTTCCTGATCCAGTGGTGCAGGTAGCTGCAACAACTGGGGAAAGGGAGAATTGCAATAGACTGCCGATAGCCCTGTTTGTTGGGTTTCGCCTTAGTAGCCTGTCCATCTTACATTGCCTTCATCCGCCGGTGTAGTCGTTGAGTACCCGTGTTGGTCACCTCTTCCGCCTATACCGCCGTTGGGGTCTTACTGGAGTTCTGTAAGCATGTCTGCCTGATGCGGGGCTCCATCGCAGATTTTTCGTTCGGTTTTACTCCTGTAGCCTTATACCTACCAAGGTTAATCCGCATGGCAGCGGGGCAGTGACTGGTAGGCGCACAGGCGTGTCCACATGCCGGTGGGTCTATGCTTCGTTCCTCTGTGGCCCACTGCTGTACTGAGATCCCCTGCTGGTCTAGCCTGGGCCCACGAGACACCCAGTTACTGTGCGTTGCCACGAGAAGGCACAGCAGGAGTCTTGATAGTGAAAAGACTGTGTACTGGCAGGGGAATACTTATGCAAGGCTGCTTCTCTGTTCACCACGAGGGCTAGCACCTTAACACTAACATAATGCTGCCACACTAGACACATTACACTACCCTGTGCACACACACACACTGTCAGTAATTTGGAACTAATGATTTATGCATACACATAGGTGGTAGTGTAATGGTCATGATAAGAGCTAACCTGAAAACCTTAAGGATTCATATTACGCTCAAACGTCCACAAAACCTTCCGAGTCCCCCAGTGGAAACGTCCCCCGTTTTCTCTGTTTCCCCCGCCTTTGTCTATGGGAGCAGACGCTGTATGCTGGGACCTGTTGCCATCCATTCCTTTGTAATCAATTTAATTCTGCTTTCGATAGCTGAGTCAGAGCATTGTTAGTGAAGATAATAGTAGAGAATGAAAAGGAGTTCATAGTCTCAATTTCAACGTCAGAGGGTACCGTAAATTAATTCATTGGAATAGGAGTAGCTGGACTCCCTGGCCTAGTTTGAGTGAGGGCGCCGCGGGCATTTTAACCGTTAGTAAGTGCCCGTCCCTTCATCCATACAGGTATGCCATTCCACGCTGTGTTGTAATTTGCCCTTCTTTAAGTGATTTGACCCAATTAATAGTTGATTGTGCAAGTGTTACAGTAACGTAGTTGATATGCTCTGAGTAAAGTCATATTTACGTCTTTAACGTCCCCTGAAACGTGTTGTTGTTGTCACCAGTTAGTAAGTGCCCGTCCCTTCATCCATACAGGTCCCTAACGCAGCCTAGGCCGTGTCTGTAGGGTGGATGTTGTATCCACTATGTCTGGGGACATGTCCGAGGTCCAGTAGGATCAGTTACCTTCGTGAGACCCGGCCGTCAGACACTTCAGACCACCTATAGCCCCCATAGCTGGCTCGTCTGGCCCTAACGCTCGGTCCACGAGGTGACCCTGGACCACCAAGCCACACACCACTACCAGCCCCCATCATTGGTGGATGAAGTCTACCTCAGTAGGGCTATATTTGTGTGGTGGAATTAACCCACTGGGATCTCCAGAGTTCGTCGGATAGTACTCCATGGTGGCTGGACCCCATGGCTGTTGCTTGAGTATCACTCCTGACGACTGAGTGTTGTAGTGGCAGTTGCTCTAATATGTATGGTGCTAAGTGACTATCCTAGTTGTGCTATTGAGTATGTCCACCCAGTAGGGTTGGAAGTGTATTGAATATGTCCACCCAGTAATGGTGTGAGTATGTTGAGCCTGAGGGCCTAGTAATAGATTTCGTCTGTTAGTACAAACCAATTTTTTCTTCTAATTTCATATTCATGTTTAAATAAACTTTGTATCGTATAATTGTGTATATTATTTACCTACAGTATCTACCGTTATTTCTTCCCTATTGCTTGATACTATCATTACACCTACCCACGAGCCTCCTATCGTCACGCTACCAATGGTGATATATAAGAGTAAAAGGAATTGTTACTGGCACACAGGCCCTCATGAAGGGTGGCAGTAGCAGCCCTCATAAATGGTGGCAGCTCAAGCCCTCATAAATGGTGGCAGCGGTGGGATGTAATGAACATAGT